GTAAAGCTTTTGATCCCTGATTGGGACTTGAATCTTCCCTTCTATCTGTTCCATGAGATAATGGACCTTTACCTTGCCGGGATGCACCTTTATTGGAAAAGGACAATTGGAACACGCCTCGGCTGTTACTGTAATTGATATTTCTGCATCTATTAGTCTCAAATCCATGGGTTTCTCAATTATATCTCTGATGGAAAAAAGAGAAAATTGACAAGATTTTATCCCTTACTAGTCCGCCATCCAAAGGATCATCCTATAGGCTTGTAGGCTTTATATTTCTTACCGTAGTCGTGTACCATTTGATAGGACCTTGTCGCTTTTAGCCAGAACTTGATAGGGGTCATCCATAACTCCCATCTGGTGCTGCAATTTACGTTTCAACTCACCAACTGTCGCCGATGGAGGCATGCTCACATTCAAAGGCTGAGACGAGTCAGAGGTGATCACTGGAATGTTAAGAAAAGCTTCAGGTGTGAACACGCACTTAACAACTCCATTTTCGGGCCGGCCAGATTCAATTCCTGCCTCTTTCGGTGCAGTTTTCACTCGGTAGAAGGTGAACTTCTTGGCCTCATAAGCTGGTCTTTCTATTGACATCTCTTCTCCACCGCGGAGAGCCCATCCCCCTACGTCATAACCATCAATAGATATGTCGACATGGCAACCTGGAAAAAAGGCGCAAGTGGTCAATGATCTTATATGTATAAAATCGAGATCTTCATCATAGAGTATTGACGAATTCAGTCTTCCATGCAAAAAGAAACGAAAGGGACTCAATGAAAAGTGAGAAAGAAATTGTATAATTGGTAGACGCTTATAACGTCTCTTGACCTCTAAGCAAATGAAGTGCAGTGAGGTGTTCCCCATGCACCAGCGAAAATAAAGAGTCACCCTGGTTATGATTTTCTGGATGGGGACCGGTGCAGGTCCGTTCATCAGGGTAGGGGTGAAGTTCTTGTCAAAAAGAACGTGGTAGCGCAGTCAGTAAGAGGAGTCCATTGAAACTTAACAGTGTGTTTTCACCCCAATTTGACATGGTGACAAAGTTGAAAAGTGTTTTTGAAACAGTAATATGTATGACTTTTACCATAAGCATGAGAATTTTTGACGTGTATTTTATATTGCGTCCCACTCTTCATCTCTACAAATTCTCCATCAGGGGTCTTATAGTGTTTTCCTCCCAGGATTTCCACGACGTAGCCCTCGTGAACCAGAAAGTTCACGTATCGAGCAGGTGCAGGTCCTGCAGCTGGATCAGGCTGGAGTCGAGCAGACGATTCAAGGACGAAATCCCGAGAAGGTGCAGGACAGGGTCCCCGCGCAGATTCTAAAGAGGAGCCTGAAATTTAAAGAAGGAAAGAGATTTCACACACAAACCACATTGATGACAACAGCCAATCAGAACAAAGGAAATCATCAGAAATAGCCAGTGAAAACTCCTAGTGAAAAAGAGAAACTGCCTCAAACGCGAGAATCGGTTTTAGTTTCGAATCTGCATGATTGTTTCAGAAAGTGGTTCGAGATTTCTTGACCAATCACTAAGCGAAGATAAGCAAAAGCAAAGAAATCTCGGGTTAGTCTTGACACTCAATTGGAAACTGCTTCAATTAATTTGCTACCCAGAGATCAGTTAAACTGCCCAAAGCATATATTTAAACGTTCACAAAGCAACAGTGACGCATAAAGTTTTATAAGTAGTTCACTTGTTGTCCACATTCCTAAAGTATTTAAAGTATTAATTTCCTTCCCTTTTCAGGTTCTCACCATTATTTGTAACAGTTAGCGAAGCATCACTTCTGACAGCAACAAGATGTTCAGCTGTACGGCCATCCGCATCACCGCCACTTAACCCTGTTGAAGTATTTCTAGGATTCGCAGGATGTGGCTGATCAACTACAGATCGAAATGTCATGACATGTTCGTCAGCTGCAGCTGCTGAGTTGGAAGAAAAGGCCCTATTCATTAAACAAAGCCTGCTCAACTTTAGGCCGATCCGCTTTTCTTGATACGTTGCTAGCATGATGTTATACCCCACGTGATTCCTTTTTTCCTTATCTAGGGCCGAGTTGGGTGGGAGGGAGAGGGGGAAGAACTTGGATTAATTAAAAGCTCAAATCGCCAGGTTTTAAGGTTTCCACTGGAAAAAATTGTTGGGTTAAAACTTAAAATAAGATTAGAAAAAAAGTTCTTTATTATGGAGCGATACTCAGAATGAACCAGTTCACTAAGTTTATTCGTATCTGTACCTTTTCGGGCACCATTGTCAGGAAAATCACTTCCTTTTGGTTCCGGATCACTACCGTCCCCTACCCCGTCAGGAACCATGTCACCTTGCCCATCTAGTTAAGACAAAATCATAACAAATATAAAAAAATTTCCTGTGTCTAAATAATTTTACCTGAACTCACTTTCTTAATATTTTAGTAGTGGTAATTTATGGCTTAAAAAATTTAGGTTTGGGAATTAAAAAGCGAGGTGTGCAGAGCTCTGTAAGGCGAAGTATTCTAAGATGTTTATGTTGCAACTTGATTACCGCGTTGTCGAATTCAGATCGAACTTTTAAGTATTAAAATAATTTTACGGGTAAAGGATATTTTTTATTCAGATATTCCTGTTGTTTGTAAATATTAAATAAAGCAATTCGAGTCAGTTTCCAGATTTGCATCAAAACACTTATTTGTTTTTTTTTTTTCTAAGAAACTCGGATCTAAAGACTGACGTTTGCGACCGATGCGACAACGATTGAGTAATATTTTTTGTCTCTACAAGATACACCCTATACAGAATTACCGTCAGTCTCATCCGGATCATCATCAGCTTTGTGGAGTTTTCTTGAAAAAACCTGAATGCTTTGCGCAAGATCCACTCTGCCGATCGCTTTAAACCCATCATGTAGCAAAGTCAGATTCTGTGGACCAATGTGTACATCTTGTTCGAGTGCTTCAAATAACTTCAGTCCGCTTTCTATGTTTTCTGTCAATCTCCTGGGAAGACGATCCCCTACAGCATACATCAACCGCTCCAGATCTTTGTTAGACAGTTCCATCGACATTTCTAGGAGAAGTCTCCTATATGGACTTATGCAATTTTCATCCTTTGCGGAGGCCATCTTCAACTTTACTCGGGCGGCGACAAAAGCAAAATTGTTATTGAAGAAGTAATGAAGAAATATAGCATGGCGGTTGTGTCTTCCTTTGTAGCGATGTCCTCACATCTTATAACCAATAGAATGCGGTTTTACTTCTTCCAATCAAAGTGCGTTAACTGTAGTCGCGTCTTCCGTGTGTCACTTTCCAACTAGGGGAGGGATGCAATGCAAAAGTGTAGAAAGATCGTTAAGAGCTTGAGAACTTCATGGGCTATCCTTGTTTCATGGGCTGTCCTTGATGCCTTTTGGGACGCTTCTGATCGGTGAAAGAGTAAGATTCTGGTAGCTTTTTTAAGTGCGAGGTATTAGGGAAATTTTCTTCCATATATTAGAAAGCTTAGGAAGACGAGAATTTGACATTGCGTCGTGGTTTTCCTGACTTTTCTGTCGGAGCTAGTTCAGTAAGGTAAGGTTTTCGTTGCATTTCATGCTAGTATCTTTTTAAAATTTAAATATTACAACCATTCTTCAAAGATCGCGTTTAAGTTTTGTGTTAAATTCCTGTGGATTTCATGTAGCTGCATGATACCTGGATTCATTGAATCCTTCTGTGTCGAGGACTGACTTTTTTATTTTGTTTGGGCCATGCAAAATCAGATATTACACGATTAAAAAACAGGACAGATGTCGGTGTTTCAATGATCAAAAACTTGTGACTTTCTTCCAGCCTCACAATAATTTGTACTTTGTTACATGTAGCAATCTCATAGTGTCTACACTGATGGCTATTATGGATACAGTGGAAGACATGTAATCATTGTAAATGTATAGGGCTACACAAAAATTCAGCTAGGATGTATGGTCGATGTCAAAGTTCACATATCCTGGAAAGTTAACTCACAAACTTTTTACACATCAAAAGTTCTGATGAGGTGATAAGCTCCATTGTAAACATTTTTTTGGAAAATTATGCGCTAGTTATAAAAGTTTTGTTAATGGTATGAATGAAAATGCATTTTGTGTAAAGAAAGATAAAATTTAGCTCCTAAGTTATGGTGAGATGATATGTCACTATCAATTTGGCTTCTATTAAAAGTAAAAGAATTAAACTAAGGATAAAACTAAACCACAGCATACCTATACTAAACCCTCATTTTATTTGTATCAATATTATTATTTTTTCAGGTGTTTACCCAATAGATTCAATCCACTTACAGACAAAGATGGTGCCTGTACATTTTACCATTATTTTTAGGGTAAGGCACATGTAGAAAGCAATATTTCACAAAACAACACCATTATATATGCAAAGTTTAAATTTTCCAGACCTTTTCTGCTTGATTTTTTGAGTGGTTCCAGGATTTTCTTGTGCAGAGAGTTCTAGGTGAATGTACCAGTCACCATGTTTTTTGTTATGATGGTTTACATTGATTGCTGTGCTCTACATTCTTCATTGAAGTACCAATTAATTCCTTTGCCATCAGTAATCGCTTTAAATATACTGTGTCAGAAATCACAGCACTGTGCTCCAAAATGTAATGTTGTCCTAGGCACAATTTCATATTTTTGAGCAAGGGAAAGGTAAAAATCAAACAAGACCACACAGACATCATCTATGAGACAACATTGCTATGTATAATGTTTATATAGTTAGTTATATAAAAGCTGCTCTATTCATGAAATCAGTGTCAATACTCTTCCTTGTAGCAGATATAATTTTTAGCCAACTTGAGAAATAAGTGGCCTAAAATGGACTCTCTCCAAACTTTTAAATTTCTAGGGAAAGGTTCCGTAGACTTTGCCGTCCAATAGGGAATAAATGATAATCCCTCCCAGCTGCTCAAACATTGTCCCTCCTTTCCACAATATTACCAAAGCCCCCATATGTGTAGTAATAAAAACATTGAAGTGAAGTGTGCAATCTCAGCAAGAGATGATAATCATGTATACTTTTAAGTGATTCATCCTAGTGGATGTTTGGTGAGGTATTGCATTCTGTGCTCAAATTCTAGTTCACATAGACCTGGGGAAAAAGAATGGGGTGTAATAGTCAGGTTGGTGAATTGCTACAATCTCTAATTCAATACCACTACTCATTTGGTTATCAATCTTGCCAATACTCTTTCTGGTTATTTGGGTTTTTATGGAAACTCTTCCCATTGAGAAGAAGCATTGTATGTGTTTGCAAATTAATAGAAAAGAAAAGTAAAAAAAAAAATGAAAATAGGGTAAGAACAGGATGGTACCAAAGACAGTGGTACATTTTTTTTTTTGCAGGGGGATAGTTTTTTTATTTTTGAATTAGGGTTTTAGCCTAAGTATGTCTAAGTTTCTGCACTTGTTGTTTAGTCTTGTGATTTCTTACTTTAAGAAGTGAGGTAAAATTGTTTGAATTTGTTTTTTCATTACAGCCACTTGAGTCTGTAAATGGAAATAAAACACAGAAAAATGATGGTAAGAAACACATTGCATGCACTATAAAGTACTGAAAGTAATTTGTAACTCCATATTTGTTATTCACAATTGACATTCTTTGCACAGGTGTTGTGTGATAAGTGGAGAAGTTAACTTTATTTTAAAAATTAAATCACTTTAAACTGCAGTGAAAGCTATTAATTTTATAGTTATAAAAGTATCAAAGGTAACCCCTCTGAGAACCTTCTCCATTGTCTGTGTTATAGAGGTGTCCACTAAATATAGGCTAATTTATTAGGAAATCTGGGAAGAATAGTATGCAACTAAATGATGCAAGTTTCAGCCGGTTGAGGGTTCTTGCTTTTTTTATTGTGGTGCTAATAGTGTCTCAGTGTCTTGCGAAGCCATGCTTTAAAAAAATGACAGGAAGGCCTTAAAAGCGTACTTAGATCTTTATGAAGATGGAGGGTTATTTTATTGGCAGTTACATTTAAAGATAGGTTGTGAGGGCCACTTGCCAGGAGTAGATTTATAAGTTCAAAATACCACATTTGAGCACAAATTTTACACAGACATTATTCAGGTATGATGGAAATTTAAAAGCACACTCTTGTCTCATTCATAAGCGATGCTACATACTCCACAGATGTCAAATTTATTAAATTTTGTATTCAGAATTACTGTTGGCCTAAATGTTTTTAACATTATGTAACATTCAACATTATATAACATTATATATCATATTAAATAAATTTTTCAGTTTTGATCTGAGCAATTAAAAACATTATTGTCTTGTTTCCAAGGTTTCCAAGGAAGGTTTCTTCGCTTCATGCCTGGGTCCTTATGTACATTATTCTGTTTTATAGAAAATAACAGTTAACTTGAGCAGGAAAACTCTGATCAGCCTAGAGATGCTAGAAAATAATTGTGCTAAGAAATAACAGTTACCTCCAGCTGGAAAACAAAAAAGACAGAACAGCTTGCAGGGGCTGGAAAATACAAGTAAGTACTGGAAAAGAATATTAATTCCTTGCTGATAATTTAAGAACAGTTGTGTGGGACTGGAAATTAACAGCACTGGAATACAACAGCCAACTCCTGCTGAGAAACTGAGAACAGCTGAGAGGGGCTGGAAAATAACAGTGCTGGAATACAAGAGTTATCTACTGCTGGAATTCAGAAACAGGAAACTTTTAAATACTATCATGCTACAATACACTGAGCATGCAATAACATCTTCCATGGCCTCAACTCCAGTTACTTGTAGAAAGGTCATCTCTGAACCATTAAATAGGATCTGTTTTACCAGTTATGTACAGTTTGCAATACATTAATGAAAGAAAAAATCTTAACCCTCCAACCCCTAAGAGTGACCAGCTTCAAATTTCCCCTTTCAATATCACCCCTGAATCAAACATTAAGGTCACAAGAATCAAGGAAATGGCCAACAACTTATAAAGCTCTTGATTTTTAAACAAATTCTCCATGTCAACAGCTCAGGAAATGTATAGAGAACAGTATGGAGAATATGCCTACTGATGTTTGGGTGTAATTGGGTGAATCAATAAATGTATGTTAAAGGTAGCAATCTTCTATAACTATTACTTATTCACAAATACTTTATTTTATTTAGCAGATTGTAGCTTCAATGGATGCCAGAAATATGTTTATGAAAAACTGGTAGATACTGTTTTGTGAATTGTGCTGGTGAAGACAGTAGTGCAAGAATAGGTGAAGATGGAATCAAGAAATGCAGAACAGGAGTGAGTCCATTTAGTCCTGGAAAAATCATGGAAGAGGTTTCTTCTGGTTTTGGTGTTGCTTTTCCTGGTAAGTATGAATCAGGGGATTTTGAGGAGGATTATGAAGATATAGAAGATGATCCGTTTGTTTCCCTCTTCCTCTTCCCCCATTAGACATTCAACTACTGGACAGACACAGAGTTGTCAAATGAAAACAATATTCAAGGTAATTAATAATTATGTTGACCATTTTCACTCTTTGTCTCTTTGTTTTTATAAGATGAGTTTTTTGTGCTACATTGTTTAGAAATAAAATCAGTAAGACAAGCTATTTGGCACAGTGTAATACTAATAATTAAACACCTAACAGGTCATGTGTTCACTCTAACAGTTATATCCAAAATTCCCCAGCTCCAAATTGTGAATAATACCTATAGACATGGCCAGAGAACATCAACAGAGAATGTGACCTCTTAACCCTTTAACTCCCAGATACAATTTGTAATTCTTCTTACTGTCAGCCATACAATTCTTATAATGTTACTTCAGAGAATTTAGTATTCGATCAACTAATTATTTCCAATGTGATACTTTTCTCTATTCTCATCACTTACCTGGTTGATATTGTGTTGATATTGTGAGGAGAAATTCTTTCTTGGTCACTCATGGGAGTTAAGGGGTTAAGCATATTCATATCAGACCCATGAATTTGTCCAAAAAACCTCCTTTGGAATTGTTAAGTTCCAGAGTTTCACATCCAGTGCATTTCCAGAGCAGTAAAATTTTAAAAAATGACACAAACATTTAAATATTTGCATAGAATCTATTTAAAACCTTTACATTTACAGCAACCCATATACAAAAGAAGTCTTTCCAACAATTATGAATGAATGGGTGAATAAAATAGCCTTGACTCCTCAATCTAGTGTCAACTGCTTTATTTTATTCAAAAGTATATGAGGGCAAAATGGAAGGACAGAAAGAGTTACTTTCTGTTATCTGTGAAATAGTATTGAACAATTAGAGCCAAATAGTTGCAGTAAAGTGATAGGATGGAGTTATTGTATATTAGTGCACTGTAGTCTACTTTATATTTCACAAATTCCGAAAAATCCCTATTTCACCTGTTTATTTGCTTGAATTATTTGTACTGAAGATGTCTATTTCCATAGAAGTGTTGCATGTTCAAGTACAACTAAAAGAGTTTTTTTTTTTTAACTACCCATTTGTTTGCTTGATGAGCAATTTAAGCTTGAATATTTAGTTAGGTTAATTACAGTTTGCACATGTGGTTAGAAAAAATATTCAGCACCAATCACTCCTGCCTAAATGACACAAAAAGTGTTTATTTGTTCCAAATACTTACTGTGTATCCTATTTATTCTATTTATCACCTTTTGTTAACAAAGGATATCATAGTAGGAAAAAGGTAACCAAAATTTATATGAAAAAATAAAAAAGGAACAACTAGAGTGATTTTACTTAACCCATGAAACAGTATGTAAACAAACCTGTATGACACCAGCACGCATGTTTGATTGTTGGATCACCCCATGTTGTGTGTGGAAAACATGACATAAACCAAAAATGTTTGTAATGTACAGTAGTTTATGACCAATTTTACCGGTTGGATAAAATCACTCTTTATATTCATCTACAGTATCTTGTTGACAAAGCTTTGACTTAGCATTAACATGAATAATAGTTACTGCTCAATTGTCTTCTTTCGTGATGCATGTTAATAGTGGCAAGAAAGTAATGCTTGTTAATATTGTCATCTGTTAAAAATTTAATTAAATCTGAATCACTTAAGTTTGGTTTTCTTTTCTTTTCTCATATAAGCATCCCACTTTTTGGGCAGATGTCTCTCTGGAATGAGATCCTTTTGGAATGGCTTCTTTTGCACTCAACCCTTCAAATATTCTATTACAATGTTTTATCTGACGGCGCATAGTACCCGTAAGCCTCTACGTAGACGTTCACTTTGCTTGTCAAGCAAAGATAAATCAATAGTTTGCCGTCAATATATGCACATGCATCTATGTATACAACGACTTCTGGGAAAATTTCCAATTGCCTGAAAACATTTTAAACGCTAAATTGACTTAAATTCTAAGGGTGTGAGTAATATGCAGACCGGTCTCAACAATCAGAACATCACAGTGGTGAAACATAGCACCAAAACTTGCAGACTGATAAATATTTTATAGGGAAGGCTACATTCTCTTTTCCAGCGCAAAAATCTCCTCAGGCTCAGTGATATTTGTCGAGTCCCAGGCTTTCTGCAGGGATTCTTCAATGTACCGGCTCAAATTATTGACTTCACCCGAGGGTAACCTTCCGACACCTACCCCCAACCCAACATTCTTTTACGCGAATAAAGGGTGCAATTCCGGCGATCTAACTTACGAATGCGGTATATCTGTTCATCCCTATTTCCATGTTTTGAGCGCATTCGAAAATCAAAACAATTAAACAGCTCGTACCCTGCATATGCAAAGTATGCCAACTTGACATATCCAATATTGACCGCTATTTTCCATTTTTCATTGAATTCTGACAATTTATCCAGCATGTAGAA